TTCTTTAGATACTATAAAGTGGTTCTATATTATTAAGAATAAAAATAAAACCACTTTTATCCTATTCAACATAATAGACTTCTATCCCTCCATTTCCAAAGATCTCTTATTAAAAAGTTTAAATTTTGCTAAAAACTATATAGCAGTACAGATGATGAATTTGGAATTATCCTAACCTCTTAACATTATTGATAAATAATAATTCCACTTGGATTAAAAGTCATAATGATAATTTTGACATTCCTATGGGCACCTATGACACCACTCAAATAGCTGATATAGTGAGCATCTATATATTAGACACTCTTAGTAGGATTAGTGATCCTAAACAGGTTGGTCTTTACAGAGATGATGGACTTATTTTCATCCCAGATAGTAATGGTCTACTATTTTCTAGCATACAGAAGAAGGTTATAAGGACTTTCAAATTCCTTGGTTTTAAAATTGAAATCTCATCTAACCTTAAAATAGTTAATTTCTTAGATATCACTTTTAAGCTTTCTAACAACACATTTAAGCCATTTCATAAGAACAATCAAAATCCTATTTATATTATTGCCAACTCCAATTATCCAAATTCAATAATTAGACAAATTCCTAACATTGTAAACACTAGAATTAATAGATTATCTTCTAACAAAAAAAATCTTCAAAGAGAATACAATAAATTATAACAAAGCCATTAATAAGAGTAACTTCAAACAAAAATTAATTTACCAGGAATTGTTGAAAGACAATAAAACTAGAAAAAGAAAAATAATATGGTTTAACCCTGCTTTCTGTCAACTATCTAATGTAAATATTGGCAGATATTTTCTGAATTTAATCGATAAACATTTTAATCACAACCCACTACAAAAATCTTTTAAAAGAAAACTCTAGAAATGAGTTATTCTTGTACAAACAACATATATAATATTATTAACTCACATAATAATAAAATATTGAAATCATTTTATAGCAGCAACATACCAGATAACAAGCTCTCTTGCAATCATAGAACCAAAGCCAATTGCCCAGTTGGAGGTATTTGTAATTCAGAAAATGTTCTATACTAAGCTACCATCTTTCCAAAAGAAAATATTAATGATAAAAATTATACATCGGTATCTCTACTGGGAGGTGGAAACAGAGGTTCTATAATCACAGGCCTTCCTCTGATGCTTCTTTAATACATCAAACTGCTCTCTCTAAACATTTTGGGAGACTTAAAAATAGAGGCTTCACCTCATAGATTAAATGGGATATTATCTATCAATCACAAACTCCCAACAACTTCTGGAATAGAAGCAATCTATGCCTACAGGGAAAAAATCCTAATAATTAAATGCAAAAATGCAGGCCAACTGTTGAACCAAAGAAATGAAATTATTTTCAAGTGTCTACATAAAAATAGATTTAAATTACCCTAAACATTTACTTTGTGGGTAATGCACTTGTGAATTGGGTTTTTTATTGTATATGTGTACAAGCATATATGTGTGCATGTGTATGTACGTATGCATGCATTTACATGTGCTTGTCACACATGGGTCTGTAGATCTATTTGATTATTTATGTGATTATCATGCAGATGCCTACATCATATATATTGTTTATCTTTACCAGTATATATTATAATTATTGTTATTATTTGTAATTATTTATTATTATATTTTTTATATATTTTTTGTTTCATTTATTAATTTTTAGTGTCTTAGTATTAAAAAATATTATATCAGTAGCATTAAAAATAATTTAAAATTATTGTGGAGCCAACATCTGTTTTCCTTCAAAAATAATTTTTATTGTAACCAAACATCCCTATCCAAATATTTTTGGCATTTAATAGAAATTTATAAAACATCCACAGTAAAATGGAAATTATTAAAAAAACGAGAATTGTAGGTCTTTAAAGACCCATGTCCTTTGTGCTTACATGAAAACTTATATATTATTAAGTTTCTAAAAAATAAAGATTTATTAAATCAAAGAAAAGAAATAAAAGTTTTTTGTAGACACTGCATTATATTTACTTTAAAACATAATCAATTAAAAAACAATTCCATAATTATATATCTATTATTTGATCACAAATAAGAAAGTAAAAAATACATAATTAAATTTCTAAATTTTAAATCTCAATTTAACAATACCATCTCTAGTATAATAATAAATATAGTATTTTAGATCTTTATAAATAAAAATATAAATATATAAAATATGACTTAATCATATTTGAAGCCCCTTCAAGAAAATCCCAATGTATTTTATAAAAAATAAAAAAATAAAATAAAAAATAAATAAAAATGCCAATGTATTGTAGTGTATCTTACGTATGCCCTTAAAAAAACAGACAGGATGACATGTCCTCATATAAGGTAGCCAGATTCGACAGGCAGAAATTACAAATTCACACCTAACTCTTAACCTATATTTACACTTCGCCATCTTAAATTAGACTTGTATTCTGATTCATCAAAAAAGGCAAGTTTAAAGTTTCGTTTTTAGTTCTGAAACATGGTAATTTCTGTATCACAATGAATACATATTTTTAAATGATAATATTATAATATTATGCTCTACTGTGTATTGAGCACTGGTTTTAAAAAATAAATGCTAAAGAACTGTGGATTATAAAGCTGTTCTATATATATATATATATATATATATATATATATATGTGTGTGTGTGTGTGTAGGTGTATGTTCTTGTTTACATATATATATATATATATATATATATATATATATATATATATATATATATATATATATATATATATATATATATATATATATATTTTATTTTTATCTTTTATTTTTATAATAATATATAATTTTCTTATAAGTATATTATATTTTTTGTTATTATCATTAGTATTTTGATGTGATGAAACTATTTAAATAGACACTATTTTAATCCCTTCCTCTGTGAACTTTATTTGACACATTGCTGTAACCTTCCTATCCTTACCCATTAACTTTTTTCTGTTCTTTCTCTTCATACTGTAAACACTTCCACCCCACTCCAAGGAAGAAGTCAATTTATTTTTGCTATTGTTTTATCTTGTATTTTTTATTTTTCTATTTTTTTTATTTTTATTTTTTTATTTTTGTATATCTGTTTATCTGAGATATCTTGATTCCATTTCATGTATTGTTCTGATGAGATGAATATGCTTATATTCATCAAAATAAAATTATTACTGACTATGGATTTTTAACATGTTTTCCTAATTATTCTTATATTTTGCTCTGTATCATACATTGAGCTCTCATATGGACAAAAAGCCCTTTTTGTATTAATCCCTACCAACCAATTACAATTTTATATTATTTACATATATATATATATATATATATATATATATTTATATATATATATATATACCTTTATCCTTTATTTGTATCTACTAATTCTTTCCACTTGTCTCTTATACTACCTATCCATGTTTTTATTGAAATATTTATACAAATATGGATCCATTTCATATGCAAAAATAATAAGGTATGTGCAATTATTTACTACTTTCCTCTCTTTTGTCTTTCTTTTGCTCCATCTCTCTATGAAGAATTTGGGACTTAAAGTCACTGAATCATTCTTGAAAGCCTTCTTCATTGTTTGAATAATTTCTGTGGATAAATGTTCAAATTTCAAGCAAAATCAGATACATATATTCATTGTGCACTAACTGCACTAATACAGTACACACACTCATTTATTGGTTTCTCACTGCTACTTAATCATATGGGAAATTTTTTCCCCTGTGGTAATGTTTTCTCAGATTGTGTACAAAATTACACCAAAGCCATGCAACAAGTTCTTGAAATATGCAAAATGGCTAAATACTTTCCAGACAAATTTTGTAAACAGTTTCTCTGTGCAGTGTCCCTTTAACAAATTCAATTGAAAATGTTAAAAAATCCTCAGTTCAGCAACTTGAAATAGTGTGACTCATTTTTAATATTAAAAAAGCTAGATAATTTTTTGACTAGTATTTCTTTAATTTCAGATGCTTTTTATCCAACTTTCAGACCATCATTCCATGGCTGTTAGTAGCAAAATCTTTGAATGATAGTTTGCAAGTTATAATAAAAAGCATTGTAAATTAAGAAGAAATAACAGTAAAAATTAGTGTGTATGCAAATAACAATGACAATCAAGAAAGATAAAGAATGGCTATATGATTAGATTAGTCAGTAGTCTCTATAGCCAAACCATAGCAAAATCAGTAAAACAGCTGTTAAGAGGCTTTCTGAGGAAACTGAATGTGAGTTTGAATCTTGCTAGTTGTTTATTCTTTATTTCCAATCTGAATTGCTTATTAATGGTCATAGACTTACAGTCTTAGAGTAGTGATATAAATCAACTGAAATTAGAATTAAGGAAATACTTGTCAAAAAGTGAATAATCCTTTTAATTAACTAAACAAAATCATACCATGTAAACAAAGATATAAAATACTGATTTTTTGGGGCTGCTTTTAGGAAAATTGTCTATTATTAGTTTAAGTTAACTTAAATTCTATATTGCAATGAGTTTGTTATCCTAAGACTACACAAGACAAACCAATACAAGATTTTTTACAACAACCAAGTTTCAGAAATGACAAGACAAATGGAGGATAAGAAAATGCCAAAATGAGAAACCAAAAATTGGAAAAACAACTCTACAGAATTTTCAAGACAAACGAAAGGAAATACAGATGAAATAACATAAAAATTGGTTGCAAAAAGGACATTTGAAAAGAGAAACTAAATTTGTATTGATGATCTAGAACAATTTGAATAGAACCAACAATATTAAGGTCAAGATAGGACACAACAAGAACAGTAAATATAGTATATACAGAAAGAGAGATAATAATTAACCCATAGCTGGTGGAGAAGAGGTGGAGTCATACCTTTCCTAAGGGTATCTGTGCATAAGTGAATATAACAAACCCAAATGAAATTGGAACTTGGCTCCCTAATTAACAATTCCAAGCCATTATCCATTACACCATCTGTACATCCAAGCTTACAGCACCTGCTATTCCTAAGCAGCCATCCATCTAAGTACTGACCAGGTTCAATGTTGCTTGACTTCAGTGATCATATAGGAACTGGTACTTCAATGTGATATGACCATAAGCAGGTAAAGTATAGAAGGGACTTTTTGTCACTTGACCACCAGTGAAACCCACCAGTTAATGTTGGTGTGAAAACTCAGTAACTACTACTACTATATAATAATAATAATAATAAATGCCCTCATGGCTTCTGATTCTAATTGACTGGGGGTGTTAACATGTACATGTCTCATCTTAGTAAATTAAGATGTGCTACAGTAAATATCCTGTTCAATACCCCACAGAATTGCCAGTCCTTATGCAGTGGGATAGGTTTCCTTAGGGTTGATGTACTGCCCATTTCTGTTCATGAGCAGGAGTAGCAAAGGAGCATCAGAGTTGAGTATCAAGAGGATTTTGATCTTTGATAGATGAAGCAGCTGGATGACTTGGGAGTCATATCTGGATACTTATAAGTACACTCAGTTAGAGACTGTCTGAGTGGACTGAAGGTATTTCTAACAGGGTCCCTCCCACCTGCAAGGTTTTGCACTGTTTTTTATCAAAACCATATCCCTAGCAGTACTTTGTTGGTATGCTGCTCTCTCACCTAAAAAAATCTTTTTATCAAAACTTGTCAACATATTGTGCACATTTGGCTGTAATACATGAACCTTGTATACACTTATAAAGATTGGGTGTCATGAAACATATATTGGGCTTCGCATATTTGTTGGTGCACTGCTCTCTTATTCAATAATAATAGTAGTAGTAGTAGTAGTAATAGTAGTAGTAGTAATAGTAGTAAATGTTAATTAGACATAAATTAAAATTTGCATTAAAATTTTGCATCAGAAAATAAGTGCAATAATACTAACAAAAAAAAATAATCATATTCATTAAAAAACGAAAAATAATACAAAACCTTTGAATATTATTAATTTTTAACTTATTTCTTTCCTTTTATTTTTGTTCTTTTTTAATAATAATTCATCTAATAAATTCCAAGATCCGTTAATATCCAGCACATTCTACATTCACATTAGCCATATACAGACATATATGCATGCACACATACACCTATATAAATGTGTTCACACACACACACACACACACACACACACACACACACACTTTTCTATGTCTGTCTGCTATGGTGCTTAGCCAATCCCTGTTGCAGGCACCTGCTTAGGCATAATTGAGTTTGTCCTACACCCACAGAGCCTAGCTGTAGTTTATACTGCAACTATACTGGGCAAACTTTAGGTACAGTTTCTGTGAGAGAATGCATCATCTGGTGTGGTGAACAGTTTGAATAAGGCCAGGAAGCTGAAATCCTCGGTCACAATGACTTGTGATTTCATGCTAGCATAACCATCAATAATTCCAACTACTTAACTTCAATCACAAGGCTTGGATCAATGCATGGTATGCTTTTCAGGCACTTTACAAAAGTGCTATACACTGGGATCACTTACCCATGCTGATAACCTCAAGAAGTCACTTCAGGTGTGAAGATTGCATTCAAGCTTGAAATAGACTGTCACCGCTTGATGTTGGCCTCAGTGTCCACTTTTATATTTTATATTTACATATGCTTTATCCTTGATTTTGAGCACTTTTGCCCATGAATATCAGTCAGTTATGTGCCATGCGTGATACATGCTTGGGCGATCATCTATTTTTCGATACAGAACTGACAAGGCAGATTTTCCTGCAGTAGGTTGCCATTTCTTTCTACAGTAGACCAGTTGCCATCCAAAGCTATAGAAGCTGATTTGTCCTGCTATTTACCCATGTCTGGAGTGAGAAGAATAGGATTCATAGCTTTTCCAAAGATATTAACATGTAAGTGAATGTAATGGATTCGACTGGAATTCAAACTCGGCTTTCCAATTCCTCAATCCAAGCCGCTAGCCATTACTCCACCATGCCTCCTGCTCATAAATATAGCATACCTTAAAACTATATTTTTATCATATATATACACACACATGCAAACAGTGACATGGATATATAACTATATATGAGAATATGCTGAAAAGTTCTCAGCATAACCATATTCCCAAAACCTGACAAAATTACAAAACTTCAGAATTTTTAAAAATTCCTTCTTGCTTGAACCAAGAACTTTCAGCACTTCTTCATACATGTACATACATAGTAATACATATATACATACATCAGTATATATTTATATACATATCTGCACATACTTTTACTGTAACTGCATAATCCATTCCAGGAGTTTTGCACAACTCTTGTCCTCACAATCCTTCTATCAGTGCCTAACTTTTACTATTTTTTCTGCTGTGAGCAAAGGGAGATTGGTGCCCTTTTTAATTTTGTCTTTCCAATGATGGGGGGTTTACTCCTTGATCTAGGCAGGATAAAACCTTTTTTTTAAATGCTTGAAGCACATAACTTGATTGATTTTTTCAAATTACATGGCCGAACCAGTATAATCTTTTCTTCTTCACCAAATCAACAATTTTACTTGTTATACCTATTTCTTTTCTAATATTGTTAATTTTCATTCAACAATTGTGTACTACAATTGCTAAGGCAATCATTCTCAAAGATGACAAATTTTCTACAATCTTCATTTTTTTTGTAGCAATAAGAACACATAAAATAATCCTACTTTGCTAACCACTAGATTATATTTTTTTGTTCCATATCTTCTCTTTTAGTTTACCAAATCTACACATACACACACATAAATACATATTTATATAAATGTCCATATGCAACTCCTATGTCTGATACTGAACACTATTTGCATCACATTCAACTTTCTGTGATCCAACTTATTGTTTCTTCACACTCAATTCTTTTTCATGAAGCTCCCAATATTTTTTATAAGATTCTGTCTCAAAATTTAGTATTATAAATAGTGAGTGTTCCATTGCTGTAACTTTGAGACAGTTTTTTTTTTTTTTAATATTTTGATAAACCTCCCTCATGGTTGAAATAATGATGTATTTTTCAATTGTGCCAGAAGCCAGTCTTTAAGTGTAGGTAAAAGCCAGGATATTGAATGGCAAGCAGTCAGACAGTCTTCACTTGGTACAACATTGTCTTCTTACTCCCCTCCCCACATTTAGTGTTGCATTAGTTAATTTTAATAGATATCAGAATTGGAAACTTGTCATATGAAAATTGTTATCAAACTAGTTTTGTAGACAATTCCCTAGTGTAGTGAGTTTGATTTTCAAATGTGCCTCACTGTTGTGGCCTTGAGCCAGACAAAATATACTATGTAAATATATAGAAGTAATAAATTTAGCGATATAATCCAGAAAAGATGTTGGTTCTTTAAAATTCTTGGATTTGTAATGGTTGGTTTGTGTTTTTACAGATTATCAACCTTTTGTGGGTTATTTAAAGCTGAAATGTATTTCAAATTGTAAGAGGTTGCTTACAATACCTGGTATTCCCAAGTGGTCCCCCATCCAAATACTGACTGGGCTCACCATTGCTTAACTTTGGTGGGATTTGTTATGGAGGAATATTTGTAGTAGCAAAGGGTAACTAGGTTTGTCTTATATAACCTTGATTTCAACTTTTCAAAATATATGTAGGAGCAAAGTGTAAACTTCAACAGTATGATATATAGGTATTCTTTACAAAATGTTTTGGTTAGTAAGCTAGTCTCACAAGCCATTGATATTAAGTTAAGTCTTTGAGGGTTTTAGAAATATGACATTATAGTAAAGTTAACCAAACTCAAGAAATACTTTTTTCTGATCTTCTTCTAATATAAGAATCATAAAAATCCAAAATCTCAACAGGCATTTTAAGTTCTTTGTAGAGACCTGCAGTTACCATGAATTCATTAAAATATACCAAAATGCATTTTGGGGGCTGTTGTAACATGATTTCCTTTTTAAAATTCATAGCTTGTTTCTATTTTGCTACAGCCAATACTTGTTTTCCAGTTATGCTGTTTAGCTTCTGAAGGATCTCCATGGTTCTATTCTTGGCCTGGACATATCAGAAAAAATGATTTATATATATAAATATTGACAATGAAGTTGTTTAATAACATTATGTGGAGCTGTTCCTCCAAGAAGCTTTGAAGACTATATCAATCTTTACAGAAGTTCAAAATATGACCAAACAAATGTCTTAATTTTTAAATACTAGGACAACAAACCAAATCTAACAAAAGTATATGTAATTCAAATTGTTTTCTATAGCCTTTCAAAAAAAAAAAAAAATTAAATCAATTTTTTAATTGTAAAAGATTTAATTTGATTTTAAAAAATCAAAATAATTAACAAAAAATAACGTGGTTGTGTTGTGACTAACCATATTTTAAAAAAAATCCTCTTTTAAATGTTTATGAAATTAATAAATTAAATTAAAAAATAGTCTCTTTCTAAAAATTAAACTGTTTATTGTCTAAGAGGACATGGAAAGAAGAAATAAAATAAAAATATGGAAAAGTTTTTAATCTCCAGAAATTTTCAGAATATAGAACAATTTATCATTTATACAAAGACCATAGAGTATTTTGAAATTTCCATTTATTTTGTTATAATTAATTAAAATCATAAAGCTAATCAATTTCCATCTTAAATCCCTCATGGTTAGTTTCGTATTTGTTAAAGCTAGAATATTTGGTACAAATTGCTTCGAGAATTTAAACAACTTGAATTGTTTTGATGCCCTTTTATTCCAGTTATACTTAAGAAGATCCATATCGTTATTTTAGTTTCAAGCTGCTCATATATATACAACTTTTATTTTTAATGCAATGGTTACTGATGTTGTTTTATTTAGACATGTCAGTTTGGCGTGTGAATTGAAGTGCACCATTTCTCTCATCAGCTGTACGTTTGTAGTTAAACTCTTCTTTCTGAACTAATTGTGTCAAGCCAATACCATTCAACATTTAAAAAAATGTTTACTAATCATGTTTAAATTTGACAATAGATGCAAAAAAAGTAAAATCACAAGATAATGCCTGTTCACCGTTTTTATTGTAAATAAAAAAAGAAAGTGTACATTTGCTGAATTAAGCATTTGTTGTTTTTACTAGTTTACTACTACAAAGTAACAAAAATGTGTAATTATTAGAGTACTACTAATTAACACACCTTTTGTTACTTTTATGATTTACTCATCATATTGTTACAGACACCTACCTAGGCACCCGTAAATTACATTCACTTGTGGATCGGTGAACTCGCCGGGTCTAGGTCTCATCAAGACCTGCGTCGGATATTACATCACTACTTGTGATTTTTTTTTTGTTTTTGTTTTTAATGAGTTGAGGGAATAAATAAAATTATGACGGAAGCCGGGAAGAACTTAGCTGACTTGACCGCTAGGTTCACTTTTTTCTGTTTATTTTGTAACTTACACACAATCATAACAACTAACCCTTAAAAACACAAAAGTGTCCTTTTTCCAGTAAAACTGTAAAAACAACAAAGAAGACCACGGAGATACAGCTCGAACTTAAAAAAAAAACAAACTTTTTTTTAGTGGGTAACTTTTTTTTAGTCTTACGAATATTTTTACACCTACAAACATATGTTTTTTGCTGAGGTAATATTATACTTGTTAACATTGTAATAAAGAATAAATTAAATCTCTTTGGAAGTCTTTTCGTTTTTTACCGAAATGAAATTATGAAGAACAAAACAGCTGGACTTGTTGGGCGTTGACCTTTAACTGTTGGGCGTCAGAGTACATTTGCTGTGATGGCACCGATCTCGATTTCGAAAATGATGTTGTCTAAAGTGTTGACAAAACAAAGCTTAAATTGCAGATTTTAAACTATGTGCAAAGAGAAATTATTGAAAAGTTTAACTTTTGATTGTTAAAGAATTTTTTTGCAAAGTGTCAGTGGTAACATAAATGTTTGTTTATGGAACTATTTGTGTGCGCGGAATAATCAAACGACGTTGTCATTAAACGAGGTGTAAACACGGCGATCGTTGTCGACAAATCGAGTAGAACACAAAAATGATGGCGAGGTCACCATGAAGCAGAAGCTCAGCTCGATGGAACAAGATTTGATTCTCCTGTGGGAAGGATAAGAATAGTTATATAACTCTAAGAGAAAAGACGGAAAAAGTATAACTGAAAGGAGGAAGAAATTAAGATCGCCACTGCAGGAAACCATCAAGGGGAGGAGAAATATAGCATAAAAAGATTTATAATATAGCCTCCCCTCTCTTTAAGGCTTGGTGAGAAAGATAAGTAGCTAAGGAAAATAACCTCCTTTAAATTATTTCCCACTTCAAATTATTAAATTAATTTTCTTTTTCAGGTTATTTACGGGAATATATAAAGTAAAAAAAAAATGTCAAGATAAAATTGCAATCCCCCCCACACACAAATACTTTATAATTGAAAATCTCTGATCTTCCCTTTTTTATTTGTATTTTAAGTCAAACATAGTAAAAAAACAAAAACAAAAAAAAAACAAAACAATCGTTATCGATTGAACAACACCAAATATGACACCATATTTCTCTTATCTATAAATATACATAATAAAATAGTCTGTCCAAATTGATAGATATCAAGACTTGTCTCTCCTCTTTATTATTGAGATCTTTTTTATTTGCTTTTTGCATACATTGTACATTTCTGTAGTAATGTACATTTAGAATAAGTACGACACGATTTTTTCCCCCTTTAATACTTTTGTCCGAGGTCTACATCTCACGCATATATACAATTTTATATATATATATATATATATAATTCCAAATTATATATATATATATATAGTTACCTAAATATACTTATAAAATACTTAATATTTTTGGCTGGTGACAACCTTTTGGAGAGAATTTTCAGGATGAGTGGCGGCTTGCGAACACAGAAGAGAGACACGAAAATGCGCATTAGGGCCTTCCCTGTGAGTATATGTCTTCCAAACCATATCTCCTTTACATGTCTTTAAAATGAAAGTTTATACGCATTTAAGGGTTCATATTTAATAAAGATTTATAAAAGAATAATTGGTTGATACATTCCAGTAGTTGCTGGCTATATTTAAACTGTCAATGATGTGAAATTCTAAGGTGAAAGTGCGAGAGAAATGCAAGGGAAAAATTGACGGTTTTGAACAGAATAGTGTAAAACCATTCAACATGGCGGGCGGAAGCGAAGATGTTTTAGGATTAGTTACAACATTTTGATTTAAGGTTTTTGTTCAATATCTTTCATTAGATTCTAAAATATCTTGCTTAGAATTTCAATTATTACAAATTTGGGATGTCATATTTATCTTTATTTTTCAATTTGTCTTAATAAAAAGTAGCCGTTTTACCTCTGTTTTTGTTACATACCAAACAATAAATGTTTGCTACTGCCACCGTCACTGTTGCTTTATTACTAGAACTTCGGCAATAACCGAAATATTCAATAAAATATTTAAAAAAAAAAATCTTTATTTTAAAAGTGGTTCGTTATGTATTCAGAAAATATGTAATTAAGTATACTTTAACGTTTTATTTAGGCTCAAGGGCTATGTCAATTAAAAAAACAACAAAAAACAATGACCACTTATTTTTAATTTAATCGTCTTTTTAGGCTGAATTGATACAGGACAAGATTTTAAAAACTGCCTTTTATGTCAATTATTTCATCTATTCTGTTAAACAATCATTTTCAGACGGCTAACATCGATATTTTAATTTTATGTAAGGATTGAGTTTTCCTGAAAAGGTGTGAATAAAACAAAAAATGACTTAATACTTTTGAAATTTTTCATTAAAGTTTTATTTTCATTTTTAATTGAAACCCAATTTTAAATGCAAAATAACATCCAAGTCGATTGTCTCTGTTTTCCATGTAAAAACTTGCCAATGTACAAAGGCTCTTCTTGTCAGAAGAGTAGTAAATTAATTAATCAAGTCCATCATAAATGTCAAGAAATTGAAACACTGTGAAAGAGAAAACACGAAAAAAAAAGTTAGGATAAAAAAATTTTTTTTTTTTTTTTTTTTTTAGCAATGTCCGCATCTTTAAATTATTCACCCCTATATCGAAAGAAGTTCATATTTTTTTTGTCTTAATTTCTTAACAATTAAATTCTGCGTTCGCATCCCTTTTTCTTTACTTTTAGTTTTAATTATCAAAGTTTTAACAAAAGATAAACAAGTGCAATGGCCATAAATTCTTTAGTTGAGGTTTCTGTTTAGTTTAGTGTTTACTTTACAAACTCTAGCTTTTTAACAAGTAATATTTTTTTTCATTAACTTTGTCATTTTCGTTTTGCTTCTAGTTCTTTGACATTTTATATTTCTTTCCTCTGGTTGTTTTTTGTTTTGTTTTTTTGTTATTGAAATATGGCAAAATTATATTTTGAAGATTGATTCTAGAGATTATTGATATTTTAGAAGTAATCTGTGAAATCTCTGTAGTCAAAAAAAAAAAAAAAAAATTATTTCATTTCCTTACCAGTACTAAGATTCTCCACTGTCATATTCATTTGTTACTAGAAATTCGTTTTTAAAGAAAATTTATTTTGATAAAAGCAATTCTGGTTGAAATCCACCATTATTTCCTTCTGTCCGCTTGTGACATTTTGCTTATCTTTGTATTCTCAAACAAAACTTTGTAGACAAACTGAAAATAAATATGAACCCTAAAATTTCCTTTTGTCTTGATTTTTGCATATGGACTTTTATTTCTAGTAAACTTCGATAGCTTATTTTACTTTTGTATTTCGAGTTCTCTTTGCAGAACGACCCCAGTTTGATTTTTTTCAAGTAACTGCAACGAACCTAATATGTTTAGAAATAATTATCCCCTCCTAAAATATTTTGAATTTTGTTATTTTTACCAATATAGTATGTAAAAAAAGACAAAACAAAATGTACTCCGTGTGACATAGCAAATATATACCTGAAGAAAGCACCTGGTTAGATTTATTGGAATATTTACTTACAAAATATTTTTTTGTTTATCTTAAACTTTAAGAGCAAATATTGGTGATTTTAAGTTAAAACACAAGTTACTGTATCTCTCGTTACTTTTGAAAATGTGTTTATCATGCTAACTAAACCAATTGACACCTTCAGTAGTTAATTTTGATTTTTGATCTTTAGCAAAAAAATAAATAAAAAAGCCAAGCTAATGTTATAAATTCCAGGTTTAATTATAGTGTGAAATGGTTCTTTGAGTATTAATTTTTTCAAATAATGCATACCATTATATTTTATGTTGATATGCATAACTGAACACTTTAGTTTTTTGGATATTACGTGAACACTCAAATTTAATTTAATGCAACAACAATGACATCTTTTATAATTGAAAAAATCAAGTGTATCAATATTCTTATTCAAGTATAAACAATATTACATAGTAATTTTTTAAAGTATTAAACAACATATATATTTTTAGGAAAATATTTAGAATACTTCGTTTAAGCAACATTTTGTTTGCATTTTTAAATTGCTGATATTGATTAAAATTTGAAAAAATATTTGCCTTTGATATTCCCAGATGAATCTTTCACAGTATTCATTTGAGACCAAATTGATTTCCTCAGTATGATCCATTGTAATAAATCGAATTTCTTTTTAATTTAAAAAAATAAAATTCTCTTAGTCTTGTGGCTTACTGAGAAATAATTTAAATGTCTTTTGAAGTTAAATTTTGGTTTTTACTTGATGAATCGCTGAAAAAAAATATTTTGTTTTTAGATAAAGATTTTATTAATTAAAACAAAAAAAAAATAATAAAGGAACTCCTGCTCACTTTGATTAGTTAATTTGAAGGAATTAAAACATTTTTAAAAACCTAGTCTTAAAAATCCAATATCTTTCTCGTGTTTCTAAGAAAAGATAGTAAATTTTATGGAATGATTAACTAGACTTTGTAAAAGTATACTTTTTGCTTAAAAATACATTACTCTTTGTGCTAAAACATTTTCAACTAATAATGCTATTTTGGACTGGACAGTGTTATTGTTTCATTACACTTACAGTAATGAATAACTGAGCGCATCTCAGATGTTTTTATTTGCTATGTGCTTGGTTAATGCATAGCCAAGCAAAAAGCTTTGGCAAGATTTGAATCCTAAAGCATATTCACTTGTAATAATAGATTTTTTATTTATTTATTTTTTATTTTTTGTTTTTTTTTATTTTATTTTTTTTATTTTTTTTATTTTTTTTTTTTTTAGGTTTTTCAATTTGGTTGTTTTACTATAATAGGCTGAGAAAAGTAAATATAAAAATATGAAATGTTTTGTCACTGAAGTTTTTGGTGATTGAAAAATACTTCCATTAGTTTTTTACTGGCTACTTGCTAAAATAAAATTAAAAGCTTTTAAAAAGAATCTTCCATCATTATTTATGAATGTTGTAGTTGTAGCTTATTTTATAAAGGATTTCTTTAAAATATTGAACAGGTATAAGGATGTAATGATAAAAATATTTTGGTGCAAATTTTCTTTGGTACACCTATGTTTAAAATATTCAGGGAAATGGAAACATTGGGTTCTTTCTCTCTGAAAACTTGGCCAATTTGTAACCCTCAAATTTCTCTTGAGTTATTGTTTCATGTAGTTTAATAACATATTAAATGAGATGAAAATGCACTTGAAAAAAAAAAAAACTTGTCTAGTTGTCAGCATGAAAGTGTGGTTAAGTTTTAACAGATCATACTTAGCAAGTGCTTCAAGAACACAACATAATTCAGCTATTTTTGAAGCTGAATGAAATATATGCATGTATTGGATCCATCCTAGATACATCAGACTTAATATGTATTGCAGTCATATCAAAACAAATTACTTCCATGCCTTTCTTTTTGACAATTTCTTTTTAATTAGATTGTAAATTCCTTTATAAAATAGCAAAATATAAAATATCATCTAAATAGTGTTGATACAGAAGTTTTTTCTTTTTTTTTTTTTTTTTTACATGTTTTCATCTCTACTTAATTAAATTGTCCTTTTCCATTGAGGATTATTTTTCTGCAAAATTTAAATTAGTTTAACACCACTTAATGGTTGATATTGTTCTGATTGCAAATTCTGTGTCTGATCTTTTTAAAGGGTATAAATTGCTCTTGGTGAAATTATAAAGTAGTGAAACATTATCATTTTCTGTAAGTTATATATGATAGTTTTAAGGTCAGTGCAGGTGATAATAAAAAAGTTCTTGATGTAAAATAACAGCTAAAATTTATACTAAGAATATACATCTGTTTCACATCATTTGGTCCAACACCTGAGTTTCAGTAACATGGCAATCATCAGGTCCAAAGAGAAAACTGACAGTTGTAATATGCTAATGTTTATAACTTACTGTTAAGATAGTGGAACAATCCATTTACTTATGAGAAAATAAATTAGTAAAAGATGAATTTTATTACAAAAAGTAAATAGATAATAATGAATTTATTAACAAAAAAAAAAAACAGATATATAAAGATAAATAATTCAGCTTTAAATAGATTAAGGCACTATAGCTGAAGTGAACCAATTTTCTTGCATTTTGTTCACATGTTATTAAAATAAATAATGTATCTTTAAAGGTTGCTCTAAAGACTTAATTACAATCTAAATGAAAAACTGCCAATTTTACTAACTTGTAATTAAAAAAAAAACTGAGGCAAAATCCAGATACTAATCTTATGACCATTTATTAATGAAATCTGTTGTTTTGTGGTCTTTTGTTGATAGCTGTTATGATTACTGATATATATTGAATATTCAACTTTTAACACATTATTTACTTTTATACTCAATTTCTTAATTTAATTTCTACAAATTTATTTTATAAATTTAAAAAAAAGCTGTTTTCTTTTTATTAAAAACAATGCTTTAAAATAATTTGTAACTTTACATAGGGTATGAAGAAATATGTAATTATTTTTCATGTGCACTTGGTCAATTTG